TTTGATACCTTTATCTCAAACGGTGTCAGAGTTTAATTAATTTAAGTGGGTACAGTATATAAAACATATGAAAAAAATATGGTTTCAGTGCTATATATAAAAACAGTAAAGGCATAATCTGGAAAACCAAGATTTGTGCGTTATAGGGAATAATATTCTGAATATTTTACAGTTGGTTTGATACCTTTAGATCAAATGGTGTTGTCTGTTACTGGATTTATATTATTGCATACATTAAAAGTTGTAAAATTATTATAAAAAAACATAAAATTGTAATTCCAAAAACGGAGCTTTGTGCAATAACAGGTATGTTTTCCTGAACATTTTAGTATTGGTTTTATATTATAATGTCACGTAGTTAAATTGTTTAATTAATTTAAATGGTTAATTTTTTTTTTTTAATTCCTAGAAATTAAGCCTTGTGCAACATAAAAAGCATATATTTATGTCTATCTGAGTTAGTTTGGGCTCAAAACATAAAAGCTGCAAAGAGTTTAATTGGTAAAAAACCCGAATGTCTAATAAATGTCAAACGTCAAACTAACTTTACCGCCGTGTGCTAATCCTCCAGAAAATGTTGGCAATCAACCTTCGGAACATCAGAAGATGAAACGAAATAGTATGAGTTTTATTTTTTAATTCGTTTTGTTTGTACGACAACATACAGCGCGTCAAGAGTAGCCCCATTCACGAACAATTTACGAATCAAATTCCTCAAGTGAAACAAACTGCTGTACAAAAACATAACTCTCATTGCAGCTACACTGAACTTTCAATTTTTCTGGTAAATGCGGATGGATACGGACCGGATACTTAATGACAAGTGAAAAAGTGAGATTTAATCTTTGCTACATGGATACCCTTGTTTGGTAAGGATGAGCATATGAATTACAAAAATGCATGACATCTATGATTATCTGTCCAAGTGCAACTCGAGTTGCAACGATCGCACAGAATCTAATTCATTGTTTCTATATCATGTGAGAAAACTTGCACATTTATTTATATTTCAGCACAAATCGTTTTTGCTATGACATTCATTTTCATTCAGCAAAATCGGTTTACTTGCCTTTTTTTTTCTTCTCCATACTAAGCTTTTTAAAGCGTCACGTCACGGTCTGAATATGTATTGCGCATGCGTATGGAGCACATTCTGAGAGGTAGACAGAACAGGGTTCATGACATTTTTTTAATCAAAAATTTTTTTTATTAAAATGTACAAAACATTAAGACAGTACAGTTACTGTATAAACATATAAACAAAACAAAAAAAATACAAACGTATACAGAGATTCATACGGTTCATACAGCAAGTGATTCACAGGCAAAATACTCTGTACCGGTTCTTTGACTAAATCGTTCAAAATCACCAATTTGAATGATTCCGAGAAATAATTCACTCAATTAACACACTGAGTCCGTCAGTGCAAGTAATGAATTAAACATCTCACTTCACTGACTAAGTTGTTTACTTACAGTCCATCTCAAAATGAAGCAAATTTAGTTGATTTAAAATTAAATATGTATTTAAAATTCAAATTTGTATTAAAACTTCAGTATATGTATACATGGAAAGTTCTGTACCATTAGTGTTGTTTGTTCATGATTGATGTTCGTTCAACTTGAGGACAAGACTAACATGCATTGTGATCCACAGCTTCAATGACAGACTACAAATAATAATAGTAAAAGGGCGTTGTGAATATCTTATTAAGAAACATTTTACATTTTTATTGTAAGCACGTCTTACAATGGTTTCATGTAGCTGTCACATATTTCAATATAAGAAATTAAATCTAATTTCTGAGAGTGATTCAGCGGGTTGCTTTTTAAGAATCTACACAGTGACGTGTGCATTTTAACAGTACAGGTAGAGGATCAATAGGAAATCATCATCGCTTGTTTGTTCACTTGCACCAGTTTTGACTATGCTGACTAAATGATATAGATCAAGGTCATGTATGTGCTGTTTGTTGATTGTATACTGATTTGTGTCCATAGTAGTTAATAATTAGAGTTTTCACTGGAAAGCAAAAATAGAGTGAAGGTTTTATATATATATAGA